AGCATCATACCAAGTACAATTTTTTGTTTGCAAAGTTTTAGCAATATAGTCATGTCTAACATGTGTACAGAGATGGCTGGTTGAATGTTTTTCCTTTAAACATTGATTCAAATGACTCATAAATCAGAAATTTGTTGACAATGTGAAAGCTTGCTATGCCCTTTCTTAATCATTTTGTGATCAAGTACCAAATATTGAACCTATTACTTTGTTATATTTCATCATTTTATCATTAAAAAAGTATCTTGTACAAGTATTCCTATTATATATTCTAGATTTATGCATCATTCATTACCTCAGTGCTTAGCTTCACAATTATATTTTATAAACTTGCCAATGTTATAAGATTTAAGTTTAAGATTTTAAAAAAAAAAAGAACACAAAAAATTATTTCTTTAATTTTCAAATCTTGATTTTTGTCTTTGATCTTTGGAACGAATGTCTGTAATATTTGTATCTCAGGGCAATGTCAAGGTCCAGGTGGTGGTTCCCAATATTGCAGACAAACCAGAATTAAACTTGAAGGGACAAAAGCTGGAGTTCACCTTGCCCATCACAGATTCAGTAAGTCTCATCATTCTAACTCTCTACACTGTGGAGCTTCATTTTGTGCTTAGAACTAGTGTACCTTTTTGTTCCTTACACTCAATGATAGACAAATTTACCAAATATCCACATATTTATTGTTCAACTATTCTGCTTAGGTGTCTGTTCTTAAAGTCAAGTTACATGAAACACTTGGACTGGCCGCAGGCAAACAGAAACTTCAGTATGAGGTAAGTGAAGAGTAACATGCTGATACATAAACAAGTTCCAGGGAAAAATAGGTTGACTGTGGGTCTCATTTTTATGAATTTTTGGTTTCTAAATTATTTATTCCCACTACTACTGTTTGAAGTTATTAATTGTTAAGTCTAAATTTTGTAGTTATACAATAGTAGTTGAAAGTTTAGTTCAAATCTTGTCCAATAAAATAACTGTAAGAGTTTGTTTTTTTTTTAAACAAAAAAGCTTACTATATTAGCTGGATAGAAGCACATAGGTTAAATATCCTTATGTAGCAACTGAAGTGCATTAATGAAAATCTCATTCAAAGTGCAGTGCTTTGAAAAAGTTGATATTAAGACAGAAGGAAGGCATTGAAGTTTCAGCCCTCGAGCAATTGCGAGAGAAAAGGATGGACAAATTTCTCTCGTACAGCTACATCTACTGTCAACCTTTTTCTGTGACACCACTCAAACAAATATTTACATTTGTCATTGGGTCATTATGTAATTTATAGAATAGGGATTTATAACTGCAAACCAAATACAACAAATGTTTGTCTCTTGAAAAAAAAGAAAGTGAATGCCTTTCAACTCTTCCTTCCACCGAAGGAGTTTTGGAATTTTTATTTTTTTTGCCAGACACCAGACAGTTTGGTTTCCAATATTTCTTTATCCCTCTTTCTTCTTGATAAGTCGAATAGAAATAATTATTCCTTCATGAGTTTTTTTTTTTTTTTATTATTATTATCTCGACATTCTTTTTCCTTGAGTTTATTTTTATATGTAACAGAGTCCCTAAGTCTTAAAAATATCGTCAACACAAAAATAGGAAAGTTGGCAAAGCAGATTTATAATTTTAGATAATTTAGTAAGATAATTGTAATTATTTTCAAATGTGCTATATCCCATCTTCAGAAAGAAATATCTGAGACCTTTCTAAATGTAAATACTTAATGCCTGTTTGTATTTGCAGGGCATGTTTATCAAGGATTCCAACAGCTTAGCTTTCTATAATTTCCTGAATGGTGCCACAGTTCAACTGCAGTTGAAAGAGAGAGGTGGGCGCAAGAAGTAGATCACACAACTCAGTAGACCTCAGCAAACTTGTGTTGGACTGTTGTTTTTTTTTGCTAATAAATATTTAAAATTTTCATATAGTATTTGTCTTTGTTTTTTTTTTTAATTCAAGAAATTTGACAAGATTTATCATTTATCATGAATAGAAATTCTGCATGTTTTTATGTAGTTTAAGCCAGATCTAAAAGAACTTCACAGATCTCACTAGCTAATTCTGTCTCTTGTGTGTGCTGTTTGTCTGGCAAGGTGTTTATTAAGCATCAACAAAATAATACCAGTTAAGAAAATAACTAACTACACAGATTACTCTGATTATAGAGGTGCAGTGGTGGATTGGTAAAAATAAAAGCCCTTAGCTTCCAATCCTGAAGACAGGAATTTTTAATTTCAGGATCTTAAGGGCTCCACCCAGCTCTGCATGCTATTTTTAACATTTCAAATTTATCACTTGGCAATGCAGAGATATACTAAAAGATGTTTTAGAGGCAAAGATAACAAATATACTGGGTACATAGAGTTATCTTTTTTTTTTATAGGGATTTTGCATAACAGTTTGTATTTAGAAGTTGAAATAGGCAGTTTTATATTCTCCTCCTTGCTTGTGCTGTTTAAATTGATTCTCCAAAAGTGTACTCTGTTGTTTATTTATGTGTTTATTTTGTGTAAATACATTTAATAAAGGTAGTTATTAACTTGATGAAAGCAGAAGAGCATGTCATTTTCCGATGCAGTGAAAAGTTGGCCATAACACAAAATTTAGTTTCATACAATTTCTAAAATTCAAAATTATGTACAATAGTACTTTTTTAACATCTTGAAACAAGTACCACTAGGTGACTTCAGTTACCTGAAGTATGGTACCACGTAATGGATCATTAATTTTTCTCGAGAGTCTGGAGCATTTTTCTTTTGATGCAAGCAATGAAGGAACATATTAATTCTGTTAACTCCCTGGGGAGCATAGGGCTGCAACGACACCTCCACCTAACTCAGTCTGAGAAGCTTTTGTCATCTGCTCCCATTCCCATGTCATTCCAGTATCCTCATCTTCACTGATGACAGACCTCTTCCAGGTTTGCATGACCTGCCCACTTTCCAAAGGAATGTATGACGCCTGCAAACACTTGTCAGTTACACAAGTTATTTTCTGAACACTGCCTGCCCTGTTTGCTTTGAGCTGTGTTGGTAAAATGCCTCTGATGTCAAGTTGGCTTCCTACACTTGTTTGAAAGAACCCTTTGCAAATAGTTTTCTCTGTACTTGCAATTAGGTGCAGCATTCATTATCTTCTTTGGTCTGTCTTTCATTGTTGTCTTGGCATCACAGTCAACTTGCCCCCAGTTTGGTAAGCACTGATGTAAAGTATACTTATTCCAGGTGTACAATGTCTATGCATAATCTATTGATAAAACTCTACATGTAAGAAGTTGCATTACAAGAGGTCAACAAAAATCCTGAAAAAAAAATTTCCTTCAAGTCTTACTGATAATAATGGTCTCATTGATTGATTACAGTTGTGAATATTTAGGGGGAAAAGAAGGAGGGGGGGGGGGGGGTGGACGTAGGATAAGAATGACTGACTTCCTTTTTGTTGTAGTGCTGGATCTGAAAATATATTATTGTGAAATGACAAAAGTTTTTAATTAAAAATCTTTATTCGACCCTCGATGCATACAGTCACAAATGTACATTGTTAGATTATCTGGAAAAGTAACAAATACTTCAAAGGCATAAAGAATGTTTGAAATGATAGATCAATTCAAAAAAACATATTTTGAGATGATATGATTGATCAGCTGAACTAAATTAAACACACACATTGTAAGCAATTCACTAAAAGCTGGTCAGGTTATGATTCATCACTCTGTGGTAGTTACAACAACGACAGTCCAGTTTCTACCAAAGGTTTGGACACACTAGTTAAGAAACTTAATGATCACATGACCTAAATAAATGTAACAAACAAAATATATTTAACTAGCAGAATGAAATTGCATAGATGAATGATAATCATTTGTGCAACCATTGCAAACATGAGCAGGTTGACCCACCCGTTATCAAATTCTCCACACACAAAATAATATTCTTGAGAACTTGAGAGTGAGGTCGTGGAATGCAGGGCATGGTGTACATGAAACAACCAAACAAATGAAGCCACAATTTTAATCTTACAGTACAGCAATCAATGAGAGTTAGTCAATGTATGTATGTAGCAATGTAGAAAAAGTTTGCACTATATGGAAAAAGTGTTATAAATACCATATAAAACAGCCACAAATTAAATATATAAAGCAACACAGTGTTAGTAATAATAATAATAATTTAAAGACCATTATATTTCATAATAATGTACAGAAGCTTTTGTTAAAGAGATCTATGCATACCAATAGAAATTCACTACAAGTTTAAACAAAGCTTGAGATAACTATAAAACAAAAAAAAACATTATTTTGTTTGTTCAAAGTCCTCTTGTTAAATACTGTAGTCTACAGACAAATACTGTAGTCTACAGACAATGACTGCAGTCTACATAGCAAACTAATCAGGATAATGAAGTTTGACAATAGATTTCATAATTACTTATATTTTTTGCAAAACCTGAATATTTTAATAAAAGGGCCACTTTGAGAACATATTATAGCTTTAAAAAAAATAAAATTGTATCATTTATCAGGTTAATGAATTTGAATAAATGTATGAAAGCTAAATCTATGTTTGAAAAGTACATCACATAATGTATCACATTAGGTTAGTGTAACTGTTACAATAAAGACACATTTAACCCTTCATTTGAACAGGACAGTTTGATCAGACTATTACATATTGGGCAGTTTGTCTTTACAATTTCAAAAGAAACCAAAGGTTTTGTTCAGACTGTCAATAAAGTGAACATTTTCATCATAAAGTAGAAATGCATTCCAACAAAACTCATTGTGCTTCATAAACATTAACAGCCAAGAGAATGTTTTCATTTCATTAGTTGTTGAAAGATTTTCTTTTTATTTAGCTGTGGTTCTCAAACTATGAATCATGAAGCTCTGTGATCCTTGAAATGTGAAAACATTTTGAGAATCCTGAATCAATTAAACTGTCCAAACTCGGTCATAGGTTTTGAAACATAGGTTGAGCCATTAGACACAGTTCAGACAATTCTGGAAACTTGTGTATAATAGTGATAAACAAACATGTCATGAAATAGTGCTGATTGTACACCACAAAATGAAACACACGAGAACGATTCCAATTGAACATTATTATGGCAACAAACACATTTCTGGATGGATGTATACCAGTCTAAAAAAAAAAAAAGCTCCCAATGTAAACAAAAAATAATAATAATTAAACCATGTATACTATATATCTACATATACTATATACAACATAAACATACAATTTAAATTGAAAATACTAAAATAAGGTTTCAACCCTCCCAAAAACAAATTTCAAAGATGGACTTGTTTCTACTAAGAAGTAATGTTAAGGAGAACCTAGTATTCTGCATTCACAAGTTACAATCATTTGAAGTTTATAACTTGGTCATGTTTATAATGCTTTACAAACATTGTACTTACAATGACACATATAAGCCAAAATAAATTAATAATATACTGATTACCAGCTAATTAGCCTAGTGCAACAAAAAGTATACAAGTCGTCGAACAGTATAAATGTGTCATATAATTTTTTTTTTCTTTATTGTTAAACAAAAATAGCCTAGTTTGATAAACCAACTATTTCTGTTTCTATGTAACATTCCCATGAAAGCATTCAATCCACTTTCACAACACTGTAGATCTTCGAAACAAACCAAAAACAGGCAAAGAATCCAATGGAACCTATAAACAAAGAAAACAAATGAACTCATCAATACTGCATGATGGGAAATGTTAAAACTATAGTTGGTTGTAATATATTCTACTGAAAAAAAAAAATTTGTCAAAGAGGTTAAACTGAAAGATTACTGTTGTCAACTCAATGATCAAAGTGTCATCAATGCTGTTTTATTACCTCTTCCTTTATTTGCCCATTTGCTTAACAATGGCATTCTGCCATAAAAAGTGCACACACAAAAACATAATCCTTGAAAGATATAAAGTTTCTTAAGACTGCCTATATTCTGTATGCCAGATACACCAAAAAGCTAGCTTTTTAAAGTTTTCTACCATAAATAGGACTTTCCAAAAAGTAACAACAAAAAAAAGCAGGAATGATAATTGTGAAGAAACAAATAAAAAGATTTGCTGCTAATTTATTTAGTAAATGAAGACATAGATTGCAAGGGTTGCATCAAGGGCCCATGAATGGGAAAGTAGGATATAAAAGAACTGCCACATAATACTAAAAATTATGATTTCAAAGCAAAAATTGAAGTAAAATTAAAAACGCTAAATTTTGCATTATCAGTAGTGATCACTATGGTTTAGGAAACTGGAAAAACAGGAAGATGAGAAACAATTAGTAATTTATGTTTCAGCAAATTGAAATTAAACCAATACAAGACACTTTTTTTTTTTTTACAATAGTAGTGTGAAAAGTAAAATAAAAAAAATCTTTTTTTTTTTTTTCTATTTGTAAACAAACTTAAAAGTCATTGCCTCACCTGTGGTGATAAAAAACAAGAAAATAATGATCCCAGTGTAGCCAAAATACAGGAAAGTGTTAGTGAATCCACTCATCTCCAGCTTGGTGAAGAAGAAATGGATGCAGTAAAAGAAAAAGTAGATGGCTGTGAATCCACTGGTCAAGAAAGATCTCCACCACCAATGGTAGTCCTAAAACAGAACATGAACAGCAAAATCAATGGGTTGAAAAAACAAACAGATCAGATTAATATTTCATAAATATGCAACTGGAGTTTTGAACATGTTCTAGACAACAAACCTCAGCACACAGGTGGAAGTAGCAAAGAAGTATGGTGGCTTCACTACAGGTGATGATGAGGATGATGAAGACCAAAAATAGGAATCCAAACATGTAATACGTCTGATGAGACCTGCACAACAGATGTCATAGTTTGCTAATAGGATACATTGTTTTTAGTTTAAAAAAATAGTACTAATTACATATATACCTGAAATTTTAATATTAACTGTTTCCCCACAATTAATGTGAAAGTATGAAAATTTGTAACTTTTTTTTTTTACTCCTAGTACTGAAAGTTTGCTATCTTGTATGAAATCTCAGCTTATCAACTGAACAATTAAAAACCCAACACAAAACCTCTTTACTACTAACAAAATACTATTGAGAATAAAAAAAAAACAGCACTCAAAACCTCTTTACTACTTACCAAATACTATTGAGAATGAAAAACAGCTGTATAAAAATGCACCCAAAAGGCAAGACACCTCCCATGATGATGCCTGGTAAAGGTCGTGTGTACAGAGACTGTTCAGGAATCTGACGGGGAATCTGATTGGTCCGAGTTGGGTGTTCAATAGGCTGAAAGAAAAAAAAAAGTTTGAGCACAAGTAAAAATACACTAAATAATTTTGAAGTTGTTTCAATGTTTAGACACCAAAAAGGTTGTAGATGAACATACCCTTTTCCTAAATCCAAAGTAAGCTCCAACAAAAGTGAGTGGCACTGATATACCAAACCAGAGCGCCAGCAAGGCTATCAATGTGGTGAATGGAATAGCAGCAGAGCTTCCCTTGGCCCACAGAACAAGATTTAATAAAAAGAAAACAGCAAAAACTAACCTGAAAAAAAAAAAAAAAAAGAAATTTTTAAAACAAGTACAAAAGCAATCTATAAAATGGCTGAAATCAACAAAACTATTCATAATACAATCATTTCAATAAATCACAATATAAATACAACAATTACCCAGGGCAGAAAAATGCTGTCAGTATCACATTAGATTTCCACTTCTCACCACCAAAAGCTAAAAAAAAAAAATTAAATCTTACTAATACATTACCAAAAATGAGTAAACCAAAAAAGCAATTCATTTAACTAATGGAATAAAACAACTATACAATCTACATATAAACTTACTTTTGTACATTCTTGCTGACACATAGCCTGCTGGTGTGCCCAGACATACATATAGTACCTAGGAAAAACAATATCATTATTAATGATTCCACTCAGAATAAACTAAGCAAGAATGTTATCTAATTCAGTAATTCCTAATTAAAATTGTGCCAACAGCTTTGAACGTTACCAAAGCACAAGTCATGAGAGCTCCTCTATTAGCTGGTGAAAGGAAACCTAAACAGGCAAAAACTGAAAGAAAAAAAAAAAAACAATGACTAAAAAAAAACAACCACCAAAATGTTCTATGTTCAGAAAAGTAGTTCCACTCAGGTATGTCAGCATCAAAGAGGAGTAAGCTGCTAGTATTCTTTTTAATGCAGTTGCTTTCAAATACAGTTGGCAATCTTCTCACCATCACCATATAGATATCAATATAAGACAATATCTCCTTAACTCAACTTATAGAGCGATTATTTTTGTCTTAATAACCAATGAATGTTAGATTTTTACAAATTGAACATTTGTACCCAACCTCAACCCCCCCTCCCCCTTTCCCTGAGAAAGAATCCTAGTTAACCAAATCTATAGATCTACTAGACTGTTTAATATTCCAATAATAGGCCTATTCATCTAGAATTAGAAGATGATGCACAAAATGCTCCTGAACATTTATTTATTAAACTCTTGAAAGAATGCCTACTTACGGAAATAACCAAAGACGTATAGTCAGTTCAATATAAGTATATTCTTTTTTTAATTTGAGTTTCAGAGTTTTCCCAGTGTAGCCAAGGAGCTAGTAATTCTTTTCCAAATGATATACATCTGAGACAAATTTCTAGGAAAATATTTAGAGCCGTTTTTAAGATCCATGTCCAGGTTACACCCACCCAGGTTACACAATTTCGACTAGAATAGAGGTATTGTAAAAACAGTCAAGTGGCAAGTAAAAATATTACACAGGGAGCACTTCTTGCACATCTAAAGCTTACATTTTGTAACAATGCAGTACATTATCAGTATGCTTCTACCAAAGTGTCCACAAATAGACGCCAATAATGTGTTTCATTTATATTTTTTGTATAACAAAGCAGACACAAATAAAAGTTGAGATTCAGTACAAAAAAATCTTTTCGTATATATTTGAGCCCAACTGTTTGCAGACAAACTTACCTAATGTGATCAGAGTCATAAAGAAGAGCTGTGTACCATTGCCTACAAGGACAGCCAAAAACATGCCCTTTCTTGGTGGTCTGAACACATCACCATGGACCAACTTCCAACCAAATTCTTCTTGAGCATCTTCCTATTCAACCAATAGCATAGTCCAAAAGAAAATATAAATATTAGAGGATAATAATTATATTTAAAAACATTATCATTGGCATTTCAAAAGCTGTATGTTACCATACTATCCATTTGGTTGTAGCGAGCAATGTCTTTGTGAAGAGTTCTCAACATGATCATGGCAACCATACCAGACAGAAAGACCACAATAACCAAAGAATTCATGATGCTGAAGAGAAATAAAGATATGATTTCAAAACTTAATGGCATTACTTCAATTCTGTTCCAAACAGAACTTTACTATTTTACACTGAGTTTAAATTGAACAAAATGAACCAGCATGCAACGTACCTGAACCATTGAATGTTAGTGTGGGGCATGGAGTCCAAAATATAGTCCCAACGAGAAGTCCATTTAATGTTCATGTTTTCCTAAATTTACAATTTTTATAAAGTTGCAATTAATGAAATATGTTCAAACTAAAAGCACTACAGTTTACAGAATGACAAATTATATTGCAAAGCTTACCGTCCACTTAACAGAGTAAGTGTACTTGATTTTGATAGGTTTGTCAGGCTGTACCCCTGGAATACCCAACACTGGAGCATTGTCAGAACAATCTGGCTTATCTTGATGATTAATGCTGATTGATAAGAATAAAACACAGCTATGATTTTGTGTTATGAGTCTCTTATCTAAGGTAAATATATAGTCAAAGTCAGTTCAGTACTGATTGATTAAATTAAGATCATCAGCTTTATGATTTTTTTCTTTCCTTTGCCATTGAAAAACATTTCAACTAAATACAAAAAAACAATTTTAAATCATGTATTAGAATAAAAACCTTGCAAACAAACACAAATTACTCTTTGTGAATTATATATATATGTTAGCAGAAGCAAACAAGACAAATGACATAAAAGTGAAGAGCCTGGTAGGAATTCAGATATGCTTTGTACTCTTCTGTCTCTGCCAAAATATAAAATTTGTCAAAAAATCTACACAACATCCCTGCCCAGCCTCCTGCCCTAATAATAAGAAATATAAGACTCCTGAAATATACATTTTATGGAGGTACAAAAAATAAATTTGGACTTGTTTTGAAAACTCTTTCTACAAACATTACCCTAACAATCAATGGATCAGAGTTTACATGGATGGTTCATCTCATAAGGCCACCACAAATGAAGGAGCTGGAATACTCATCGAATGGCTCGATGGAGAAAAACTAGAAAAAATCCATTGCAACTGGAGAGCTCTCTGACAGCCACAGAGCAAAAAGGGAAGCACTAGAACTAGCTGCTACCATGCTAGCAAATCATCCAAGTTTCCCATAC